GCACCCAAGCCGCGCACCCAAGCCGCGCCTCAGCCCTTCTCTTCTGGACACGGGTCTTGCTAGGCCGCCCGGGTTGGCCTCAAGCTCGTGACGCCCGCCTCAGCCTCCCGAGCCTCACTCCATCTTTCAAACGGTGACAGAGACGGCAGCCCTCTCTCCAGGCTGCGACAGGGATGCAGGCGATGGCCAAGAGTACCGCAGGACTCCGCAGCCACCCTGCTGGGGCTTACTTTCCTCAGCGTCAGCCAGCACCACACGGGAAACCGGGGAGATAACTCGGTCCCTGGGTGTTGGACAGCCGCGCCGCTCCTGGGCATCGTGGGCCCCGTGTATAAAGGGCACCTGGCAGGGCAGCACCTTCGAGCCCGTGGGGCTTTGGGAGGGTGGCACACGGCGGGACTGTGTCCTCTGCGATGCGGACCCCCTGTACGCACCCTGCCCGGGTGCCCGGGCAGGAGGAGCCAAGGGAAGGACGAGGGCACCGGCCAGGCTGGAGCGGCCCCTCCCTCAGGGCACAGGCTCTAGGCGGGAGTCGCAGGGCAGGCCTCCCTGGGGGACAGACTGCCCCTGGGCCGCTCAGAGGACAGCTCCTATTTGTAGGAAGGGTTCCTGACCAGAGCGAGGTGCTTGGGAGGAAGGACACAGGAGGGACCGCGAAAACAGCCTGCAGTCCCTGGAAATGGGCTGAGCAGCCAGTATTTCACCCATGGCTTTTTTGGGTGTGGGTGGGGAGAAGAGAGTGAAACATGTAAGTCAGTCTTATTTTTGTTCTCGGTGCACTCTGAAAACATGTTTTGGGGACGTGTTTTTAAAGCAAGCAGTGCGGTTGAGGTCAGTGTTATCTAGCAAGACCGCGAAAACAGCCTGCAGTCCCTGGAAATGGGCTGAGCAGCCAGTATTTCACCCATGGCTTTTTTGGGTGTGGGTGGGGAGAAGAGAGTGAAACATGTAAGTCAGTCTTATTTTTGTTCTCGGTGCACTCTGAAAACATGTTTTGGGGACGTGTTTTTAAAGCAAGCAGTGCGGTTGAGGTCAGTGTTATCTAGCAAAATCTCTC